TAGTGTGCTGGGATAATAAGTAAATTCTCTGAGACATTGTAGAGAAAGCATTCTCTATTATCCATCTTAACTATTTGATCTAGTATACTTTTCACATTTCTGAATCCTATCTGTTCTTTTAGTATTTCTGTTTCTACATTTGGCTCCCACATGAAATTTATGCCCTGGTTTAATATTTGCACATTCTGTTGTAGCTCTTTCTTCAGTACATCTTTCATTTTTCTTTTCTTATTCTTTCCATCACTTGTTGACATCATTGAGATATTTCATTTCTTTGACACTGAAATCTGTGTTCTGCTGTCATATATCTTTCTTTATTGCCCAAGGGTTTTACATAGATGACTTTGCAAGTTAGTTTAATTTTGAGTCCATTGTAAGTAATTACCTTAATATGCCAGCAGAATATTTCACTGATTGGCTGGTTTCCAGATACTTTTTTAATTTTTAATTTATTTATTTTGATTTGTCAATCACTTACAAGATAATAGGTATAAGTATATACATAGTTATGAATACATGAAATGGGTACATATAAGAAAAATAAAAGAAACAATAGGACAGGGAAAGTAGGCATGTTGGTGTGCTTATGCATGCCCCCTACAGACCTCTTAGGAAAGGGGTGAGGTCAATAGTAGACAGTCTAAGGTTAACGTTTTTGGGGTTCGGGGAAGAAACCACAGAGTCAGGTAGAGTATTCCAGACATTGACCACTCTGTTGCTGAAGTCGTATTTCCTGCAATCAAGTTTGCTGTAGTTAACCTTGAGTTTGTATCTAGCGTGTGCTCTTGTGTTGTTATGATTGAAGCTGAAGTATTCATTGACAGGTAAGTCATTGCAATGTATGATTTTATATACCATACTTAGATCAGACCGAAGACGGCGTAATTCAAGGTTTTCTAGGTCTAGAATTTCAAGTCTGGTGGCATAAGGTATTCTACAACAAGTAGAGGAGTAGAGAACTCTTCTTGTGAAATATTTCTGGACTTTCTCAACTGTGCTAATATCAGATACGTAATGTGGGTTCCAGACTGATGAGCTGTATTCGAGTATTGGTCTAGCAAATGTTTTGTATGCTCTAGTTAATAGTGTGATATTACCAGAGAAAAAGCTATGTAGGATTAGGTTAATAACTCTTAATGCCTTTTTGGCTATGTAGTTACAGTGGGCTCTAGCACTTAGATCATTAGAGATGAGTATTTTTTAAGGTCCTTTGCAGAGCTTGGATCATCAACAAGGTCTTGACTATCCAGCTTGTATTTTATTTTCTGAGTTTTTTTGCCAATATGTAAGACAGAGCATTTATTTGTTGCGATTTGAAGTTGCCATTTGTTTGACCATTCTGATACATAGTCAAGATCTTTTTGAAGGGTAGCAGTATTGTCTGTGGTGTTGAATAGCTTTATATCATCAGCGAAGAGAATGCAGTTGCTCTTAATATGATCACAGAGCTCTTTTATGTAGAGTATGAAGAGAGTTGGTCCTAGAACACTGTCTTGGGGGATACCACTATTGACAGGTACAGAATTTGATAGGACACTCCCAATTTTGACCATTTGTTGTCTGTTTGACAGGAATGCTTCTATCCAGTTATGCAGGTGTCCAGAGATACCGTAAGATTTTTAGTTTTTAGGAGTAGTT